AAAATTATAGCTTAGTTTGATGCACGACACTACTGTTTCCCCCACTTTTGGCTCTGGGTAACTATGATACTGTGTGGTCTTAAATACTGCAGCACATAAAACTTATTACCGCCGAAGAAGGGTATCAATTTTTATATTCATTACCTCTGCTTTCCATATTCCTTGTAACTAGCTGTGCCTTCAGTTTCAAATGATTTTGAGTTGACAGCACAGGTTAAAAAAGGAGTGTCGAATCCTGTGGTCTTAAATACTGCAGCACATAAAACTTATTACCGCCGAAGAAGGGTATCAATTTTTATATTCATTACCTCTGCTTTCCATATTCCTTGTAACTAGCTGTGCCTTCAGTTTCAAATGATTTTGAGTTGACAGCACAGGTTAAAAAAGGAGTGTCGAATCCTGTAGTGCATCTGCACAATACTTAAGCTCCAAATTTGAAATTAACTTTACGGTTCAGATAACCATGTGGATTACTGAAGTGAGTCCGTTAATAAATTGAAGGGGCACTGCCATATGAGATTCGGTTTAAGATAGCTGTTTAACTGGTGGATTCAACTTAACAGGAAGATGCAACATCAAGGTCTCTGTAGACATCCCAGTTGATACTGAGCTTGCCACACCTTTGGTTGAGAGCTGTATTTGGCGCCAAGTAAGGGGATCTGGTGCTGAGATTTCTGAATCTGACGCACAAGACACAACATCTGAGAAGGTAAAGCACTTCTTGTCCGGTTCGCAACATCTTTATGCATTGTGAATTTTGAGTATTGAAGTTACTTCAAACCTAGTTGGCGATATGCTAGCTCTCGAGTCTGAATTGCTAATGCACATGCTATCAGGTTGGTATAGCACAGCAATGGTATGATGAAATAGACAACCTAGCGTTTTCTGAAGCTGCTGAGGAACCTGCTGTGCACAAAGGTGATGATAAACCCGCAGATGAAAGCCACCAAGACCAGAAAAGCGTGCATTTCACCTGTGCAGTTAACGTCAGCCCTGGGACATGCGAGGTGCGATTCTTCCCTCTCTTAAAACAAGACAATCTTCCTGTGTTATATGGAGCGAAATCACTTGAGGCTTTGTTCGGTTAATCCTCTCCCCAAGAGGATTGGAGGGGATTGGCAGGGATTGGTTCATATTTTGATTTAGAAGAGGTTTAAATCCCCCTCAAACCCCTTCAATCCACTCGGATTCACCCGCAACCGAACAAGGCCTGAAAGAAAGAATCAAAGACCATGACACTGTTATTGCTCCTGCAGCTGGTGGCCTCTGCTGCATTGTACCTAAAGGTCGACCGAACGAAAGCGGACCATGAGGACCAGAAAGCAGTGATCAAGAGGATCCTCCAGTGCCAGGGGCATGAGGAGCACGTGGGTGTCGAGCTCCTGACGGAGAATCACATAGACGCGAGGGATCTAGTCATCATGAAGCCGGTTCATCTCAGGCTGAGAATGGAGTGCGCCGATCACCCTGCTGGAACCACCAACAAGGAGACCATCAGCACCGAGTCCAGTCTCGAGATCAGCATCACTTTAGAGTAGCCATTTCAATTCCATTCAGGACTCAGTGCACACTACATGCGTAGGGTAGAATGATTTGTTCGTAAGCGACCTAACCCTGGGTATTTTGTCACTAGACAAAGATGTTCAACCCATTTCAGGCAGTCTTTTAGTTGCCCTGTCTTCAGAAACACATGGCTTGGAGATGAACAGAGCTTCAGACATAGCGAGGATTAATGAAACATTGCAGATACTTGTCTGAGAATCGAGGAGGTCCTCTTATTCAAGGGATTTTCAAAGAAATTTTGGATGATTTTATCCGTGGTATTTTTTAAAATTAAGACACATGGGTTGTTTGATTCACATAATTTTGATCCATATGATTTTTCCTAAGATATTCATTTGAACTATATCTGGTAGGAATTTTTTTCATTGACTAGATAATTGTCTGTGTGTTGCAATGGGGTATAAATATTGAGAAATGTTAACTAGCGAATGTTCGCTGGAGGGAGGTCCAGCCTGCACAACCATGTGATGGGAATCAAACGGATGGCATTTGAAAAAAAAATGTGTTTGCTGGCAAATTTATCTGTACACACGGCAAGTTTTCCTATTTGCCACGGCAAGTCCTTGAGAGCATCTACAACCGGACCTCCCATACTTGTCTCAAACGTTCGGGCGGGCTGCCGGCCATTGATTAGATGATTTTCGGCCACCCAACCGGGCTCCCCACATCTACCCCAAACGCCTGGGCTGACCGGCACTCTTCATACCCGGTCCATATCTAGGGCGGATATGAGGATGCCCGGACGCGGGCTTCACATTAGACTGACCGCAATGGCCCATGCGGTCACACAAATAGACCGTTGGTCCGATGAGCGCCTCCTTCGCTCCATGCCGCGTGGCGCCGCTCTGGAATGTCGCCCGAGGGAGCAAGGTCGTCTATTTTAGCCGGACGACGGCGCCCAACCCTACCTCGCACCATTTCTTTCCCTTTCTCCTCTTCATCGCCGCTACTTTCGATCTGTTTGCCGCTAGCGATGCCGAGGCCCCGGATCACTACCTACGCCACACTCACTCCGGAGCGGCGGCTGCGGCTGCTGGAGGAGATTCGGGCCAGGCGTGCTAATCGTTTCGTTGTCCGACTGCCTTCGGATTCACCGGAGGAGGGGTAGCAGTTGCCCGAGGCGGAGCAGGACCCCCAACCCATGAAGGAGGAGGAGGGGGAGCCGGCTGCGCGCTTCACCATAGAGGAGTCCATTGTGAGGGCCAACTAGCGCTTCATCCGACACCAGAGAGCGGAGATCCACGAGCTCTTCGCCTAGTTTGTCTGACGACGAGCCGGAGTTGCCGCGGTTGCCCATCTACCCTGAGCCGGGCACAAAGATCGTGGACATCTTCGACAATGAGTAGATAGAATACCTACCTAGTACGCATGTTTTAATCTGCATGTCTTGTATGGATTTGAGGTTTCAAATTGAGGTACAGGAATGCAGTAGATGTTTTTGTGTGATGTCCGATCACTGTCCGCGGATCCGTCCGAGCGCGTCTGCGGGCGTTTGGGGGTAGATTTTGATACTTGTGATTGTAAATGCTCTAACAAATGCATGCCATTTTTAGTTGTTTTCACATGGCAACTTGAGTGTTCGTTGGCAATTTTACTCGTAGTGAACGTTCCTCAAACATTGTGGTCACAAATATTCTAATTCGTTAGCCCGTGATTTACCTATGCATATTAATATGATTTTATAAATAAATATTTATCAAATGCTACCTGTAATTACCTACCTAAATAATTTTTAAGATTTTATTTAATAATCACTTATTTGGAAAGAACTTATGACTTATACTGAATAAAAATAGTTTTATTTAGTAAGTCAATGAAATATGAGACAATTAAGATGTAAAAGGATAGAGATAATAGAAAAAAAATGGAGAGGGGGGGGGTGCAGTAAGGTTGGATTAAGCGTTTTGCATCACATAAATGAAAAATATTACATTTGTTTTAAGTAGTAGAGATAAAGATTCCAACTTTTTTGAAGAAAAAAATTGAATCTATTTTCTTTTTATAAAGAGGATTAACTCCGGCCTTTGCATCGAGCGATGCACTCAGTCATCTTTATTGCATTATTCAACAAGGTCTTGCAAAATAAATACATAGATCGTACCAAAGCCACCTTTTTAGCGAAAATTATCGCCCTACTTACAAGATTGATGATGTGCCTTTATCGTGCGCCACACGCTCCAAGAAATCTGATGGCCTCACCAAGCCGTCCGTCGGCTAGCCAGGAGCACCAACCGGTCCAATAGACCCTCAGCAAGAATCCGTTGTTGCCTTCTGCACAATCTCATCTTTAGGAGCAATTAATGCAATGATCTTGCTAGACCCTTCTGCCGTCGACGCCACCACAACGCCGAATAGCGCCTACCTTCTGCATGCGTCCATCGACCGGTATCTAGCTTCGAGACTCCGCTGCACCTTGCCGCCATGACTCGTTGTCAACATTGTAGATGGCACGCCGCTCCACCTTGGTCACCGCATGAGAAGCAGAGACCTGCGCCTAGCCACTACCCCAAACACTTGTCCGTCTAGTTGGTGTACACCCCTAAAGATGATGCCCCATGGGGTGACAACGCAGGAACTTCGTCATCATCTGATCCGAAAAGCCCGAATCTGGGGTTTCCTCCGGGGCACACACAGAACACGAATTGCCCCACAATGACTCCAACGAGGTAAAGACCCATGCGGGTGTCGCCATTGACGGTTCTGGCCGAGGCCGAACCAAGCATTAGCTGGCAAATTCGTACCCATCCCCGGCTGGACCACCAGATCAAACTCCTCCATCATCGAGCACGCCCATGGCTGACGTCTGCCGCCAGAAAATCGCATGACCGGAGCCGCACCGCAACCCGGAACTGCCAGCCCGCCCATAGACCGCGAAGGGCCATCAGCGATGCACCGCCGACACCGGACAACACACACGTCAAAGACACCCGCACGGATCTCCACCGCAACTGAATCCCGGAGCTACGGTGGAGGAAGGCCCCGCCGCCGCCATCATCCCCTCCCTGGGCTTTGCCCAGCGGAGCTCCGGCGGCGGCGAGGGAAGGCCGTTTTTGATGTCCAAATAATCCAAATTTGGCACTTGTAGTAAAAATTGCCGATCCTGTGTGTCCTGATATCTGGCAGGCTCCGCCTAAAATTTGACCTCCGAAATCATCTTTCGTTTTCGTTTGACTCGCCCAAGTTCTGACTTCGCCTCGCCAAACCTTTTGATATCGTTAAAGACACTGACTGGTGGGCCCCAGATCGTGCACGGCGCGTAGGCCTGCCCGCGCGCAGACGGGGGCCGGTCTGAACCACGTGCGAATCGCGAGGCACTCTCCTTTTGTTTTGTTTTTAAGTCCACCACCGTCGCAAAACCGCAAAACGGCTCGAGACGCACTCGCCCCGACCGACGGCGAGACAGACTCTCCGTCTCCATTCCCCCACAGCAGCCAGCCATGGAGAGAAATGGCGGGAAGCAGCAGCAGCAGCAGCCGGAGACGGCGGCGCCGGCGCCGGCGCCGAGGAAGGGCGCGTGGCGGGACGGCGCCGTCACCTACTTCCACCTCCTCTTCTACATCGCCATCTCCGGCGGCCAGATCTTCTTCAACAAGGCAAGCCCCTCTCATCCTCCTCGCCCCGCGTCTCCGGCCCACCGCCCCGCGATCCTGCCAGCCGCGGCAAGTTTCGTCGCTGCGGTTGCTCATTCCTGGTTGCGCGACACGGATGCGGTCTCTCTCGCGTCTGGCCTGGCCGCGTCAGGCGACTCCGCGCCGTCCTGGGTTTCTAGGGTTTTAGCGTGCAGTCCACCGCAAATTCGTAGGCTGATCCGATTGCTGCTCTCCCCTTGCGATGGAGACGAGACGGATGTGTTTCCAGTTTCTGGCGCTGGATTCGAATGCGTGCGAGTCAGGGGGGCTTTTGTGATGGATCGGATCTCTGTCTCTGCTGCAGCGTAAGCGTTTTCAGTTTAAAGAGGGTGTGATTGTAAACGCACAGGGAGGCGATTTTGAGCTTCGGCTGTTCTCATACTTGCGATATCAAGCGTTGATCCCATAATTCATCAAAATGAGTCTCATTCGTGACTACTATCAGTTTTCTAAAGCCGATCGCCCACCTGAATAGCCAGATTATGTCCAAAATTCGTGGGCGTTTGGGTACATTTTTCTGCCTCTGACTCCAGTAGCTTGAGATCTGGGAATAGTCCGTTGCTTGCTTGGGTTGTTCACTCAACTTGGACCCCTTTTTCATGAGAAGGGTTGACCCAGGTTCTCTTGTCATAACTCATATCCCTTCCATAACAAGTAACTGGACTCCCTTTTGCTATTACTATATTGTTAGTTTAGTTTGGTACACCGATACGTGAGGCTCATGGAGGTCTTTTGCACCAAGTTCCATTAGCTTTAAGTGGAACCTCATATAAATCAATTCATTGACACTTCTCAAGATGCCTATCTTTTTGGACCAACTGGATAACATCTTCTTCCACTATAATGATTCATGGAAATTGAGCAATAAGCACTATCTTTTGTTCTATTCTCTCTCCTTATTTCTTTGGCCCAACTCAATACTAACAAGATTAACAACACTCCAAGAGATTGTGGTGCAAATAGAAATAGTGATGCTGACATTTCTGTATGTACAAATTCAAGTGTAAACATCGATAACCCTTGCTTCAGAAGATTGAAAACCCACTTTGTAACACACTTCTATTTGGGATGATTAGTTCTGGAGTGCTTTCATAATTTCATTCATGTGGTTAGAAGTACTGATGGATTCTTTTTCTGTGGCAAATATCCTTTCATATTTTTTGTAACATTGTTAAGTACTTTGTTTGTCCTGATTTGCAGTGGGTGCTATCCTCAAAAGAGATCAACTTCCCCTATCCAGTGGCACTAACTTTGCTACATATGCTCTTCTCATCTGTAGTATGCTTTGCTGCTACAAAGATTTTCAAGGTACCTAGCATCAAATTTTTACATGGTTGCTGTATCTATCTCTAATCTGTGTAATAACTAAGACTTCATACTGTTTGGAATTCAAGTTACTTGAAGTTCAAGAAATCCGTAATCTTACTATTTTTTTACTTTGATAATATTTTATAGGTCATAAAGATTGATGAAGGAATGACTACAGATGTGTGAGTCTTGGATAATACAAAATTCATAAGGCTGTATTGTAGTTTCTTACTCTCTCAATTGTTCTCTGTCAGTATATTATGTTCCATGACGTATCACCTCATGATTAAGACATCCATAATGCCTGTCTCTCCATGCATGAACCGATATGAATAATTTGTGAATTTTCCATAACATTAGCATATTCTAGCATGTTCGTAAGATGCTGCACAAACACCACCCCTTCATTTTAAATATTGAGGTTGGTTTTCATCAGACTATATGTGGATAGCAAGTACAGTAACAGGGGGCTCTGCTGTTTGTTGTGTAAGTACATTAGCCTGCTTTAGCTGTCAGGATTAGTGAGCGAGTTTTACCATATTGTTAAGATTAAATGCCAAGTCAGGCTTAGAAGTCTAGCATGATGGTCATCGGTAGATATTTACGTTAATTAAATTTGCATCTGGCACACACTAAGAAGCTCTGCACTATTCCTGTCATAAGTCAATACTCGATACCACTCTTAGTGAGAAGAAATATGCTGGTCTTTTTCTGAAGCACGGACCTGCAGCCGTTATTGCTTTCCCATCCTGTATTAGATTCTTTGTTCAATTCATAATAAAGTACTGGGACTGTATTATTTCTCTAACTAGCTCACCTGAAATTTCAGATACGTGAGTTCAGTCATTCCAATTGGAGCAATGTTTGCAATGACACTTTGGCTAGGGAACAGTGCATACCTCTACATATCTGTTGCATTTGCACAGATGTTGAAGGCAATAAGTATGTGCACTCTCTGTTTTTAGATTGAGAAGGTAAAGCGTAGGTTGTAATCAGTTTTGGAACTGATGTTAATATACTCTTTGCTTGAGCATTACAGTGCCTGTAGCCGTGTTTCTCCTTGGAACAGCATTTGGCCTTGAAGAAATGAACTGTAAAATGCTTGCTATCATGTCTATCATCAGCGTGGGAGTTATTGTGGCCTCTGTTGGTGAAATTACAATCAGCTGGGTTGGAGTGGTGTATCAGATGGGTGGAGTTGTAGCGGAAGCCCTTAGACTTATCTTTATCGAGATATTTTTGAAGAAGAAGGGTGTTAGACTGAACTTGATATCCATGATGTACTATGTTAGCCCTTGCAGGTATCTTGTCCACCAGCTCCCCAGATTAATTCTTGAACCTACTGTTTGTTCTCGTAATTTAATCTGTGATTTTCCTGCAGTGCCTTTTGCCTGTTCATTCCCTGGTTGTTCTTAGAGAAGCCAAAGATGGATGCAAGTATTTCATGGAACTTCCCACCAATTACATTGTTCTTAAACTGCATGTGCACATTCGTACTTAATCTGTCAGTTTTCCTTGTCATCTCCCGGACAAGTGCACTGACAGCTCGTGTTACTGGAGTTGTGAGAGATTGGAGTGTGGTGCTGCTGTCAGCTGCTATTTTTGCTGATACAAAGCTTACCTTCATAAACATAGTTGGCTATGCCATAGGTATTCAACTGATTAATCTCGTAATCTGACTTATTTAACTTCATAATTTCTGTGATATCTTTGGGCACATTTTTGGCTAAAGAATTACCTGCACCTGATATTTTCTGGATTATATTTTTTTTGAATACTTTAGGTTTGAGCCATTTTTTTGAACATTTTTTTTTCAAAGAACTGCATTTAGAAGTGGATTAGATGGTGACTCCATTTTTCTGCAATGTACAGCCATAGTAGGTGTTGTTGCATATAACAATCATAAGCTTAAACCCCAAGCGAACCAGCAGCAGGGCGCTGACAGCAAAGTCAGCCCAGGAAGCCCTCGACATGTTGAGATACCATTGAACTCTACAAAAGAATCTTCATAACACCGAAGGTAGTGAGATCTTGGACAGAATTTTTTGGGGGAAGGTAATATAAATTCGAAAACTTTCTAATTCATGCACCTGTCATGCATGGAACATACTGACGGTTGGTGCATTTACTGTTGATGCAGGAGAATTGAGCTCTTGATTTTGCTACGAGTTGGCCAGCTCTCCATGGGATACATTCTTCCTACAAATCAACAGGAAGACCGGAAATTTTGTACAATGATATGTAAGATACGATAGCATACTGATTTGTATTATTGTTGCCCGGAGCAGGGCGGGCACATCATAAAGGTCAATTAGGTTGTGTAGATGTGTTTGTTGTCTTTAAGGTGCTGTAGAAATCCATCAGGTGCTCCCAAAGATGCAACCTGGTTCTGTTGGTATACTTCGTTACTTTGGAGGGTCCTGCCAACAAGATGGACCTGTCTGTATGCACATTGTACTTCAAACATAAAAGAATACCATTACTTCAAATATAAAAGAATACCATATGTGAACTTTTTTTTAGCTTGCACGTTTTCCATGTCCGTTTATTGGCTCAGGAAGCTATTCCGTTTTAAAGATCCATATGATATGTGGAATGTTCTTTCTGCGAATGAAGTTGTTAAGATCCTGTTTCGAAGGCGGATATATTTCTTGGCTCGCGAGGAAATTGAACTGTTCCCTGTAAAGTTCAGGTGAAATTCTTGCCTCCAGACAGGGCCTATGTGGTGGTGGTGTTACTTGTGCGGGAAGTTGGTGGAGATGTACTTGCCCGCCAGGCACACATGATGTGTTCATGCAGAAATTTTGGCCATATGTTTCTCCTCAGCAGGAATTGTTTGCGTTGCCTCTGGTGTGTGCTGCTCAAGATAATTCAAGCAATCTGATTTGTCTCTTCTTTTTTGAGAAATATCGTGCTTTATTGATCAAGAGACAGTGCGGCGACATTCGACAAACGAATTTATACATGACTAAACCAGCGAAACGGACTCTCTGGTTTGTTTGAGTCCAGTGTGCTTTGCGAGCGTCTGATCTGAAACATAGGGCCCAGATCAACCAAGTTCCACACCGTGTGTTGCGCCCGGAGTCCAGTCCTCCCCGGCGCCGCCGCCTCTGCGTGCTTTGGGCGGGAGGCCGCCGCCACCATCGTGGGCGTCGCGACCACTGCCGGAGACCTCGCACCCCTTCGGACCCGAGGAGGAGTCCAGGGTCTTTACTCTGGAGAGCGATGGATTCTTCAGAAATTCCGCCCTCTGACCGCAGAGAAGAGCAGCCGCCGGCGTCGCTGCCGCTGCCGGCGGCCTTTCTCGAGTTCCTCGGCGAGAACGGCCTGGACCCCGCGCTATACTCCAAGGCGGACACCATCCCGCGCTACATCAGGTGAGGCAAGCCTTGACTGACACTCGCCAAGGCTACCATCCACCGGCAATTCGTCACATGAAAGGGTGCGAATGAGAGTAGCCTGACTTGTTTCTGAAATCCCTAGGTTAAAACCAGGCACGGAGCCCATGGTGGTGACAGAGATCGAAAGCGAGCTCAAGTGTGATCTCATGAAGGTGTCGTGGCTGCCGGACTTCTATGCGATCCCGCCTGAAATTCAGATTGCTGGATCCATGGCTTATCAGCAAGGGAAGGTGAGGAGAAACTTTTGTCATGATTGGTTTGAAGCTGACCCATGTTGCTCAGCCTAGTCTACTTGTATGCGGCTATATGATGTTAGTGTGCATGTTATTAGATTTTTGTCAAGTGTTCTCTGAGGCAATTTATTTATCCTAGATAGCAATCGAATAACATTATGTTTTATTGTTTATTAAGAGACCAAATGCCTCGAGCCGGTAACAGTTTGGTGATGCTATCATGGTACAAGTTAAACTGAAGCTGTTCAATCTCATGGCACTTTTGTGGTTGTCACCTGATTTGTAACGGATTCTCTCATCAAGCCAAAGTGACACACTTGTTGTTAATTGTAGGAGAAGCTGAAATTTCCCAGTAAAAAGTACCGTGTTGTCATGTTCTTATCATGCACTCTTCTGTGCGTGACATTTTGCTTCACCTAGGCATCTTTAAAAACATTTCAGATCTATGGGATTGATGCAGCTTCTGGAGCTGCCATCTTAGCACTCGATGTTCAACCAGGAGACCATGTTCTTGACCTCTGTGCTGCACCAGGTAACTGTTTTTAATATACTTCAAGTACACACTGGACCAATGTTTTCTTAGAGACAATGTCTACCCTACAATCATAAACGAGCACCCCTACCGAATATTTGTGTGGGCGACATGTATTCACCAATATGGCAAGACCTAGTTTTCTCAAGGGCATAAAAACATGGAAAGCCTTTCCTGATTGTTGATCTTTAGATATCATACAAAAATACAGTTTCAAGTATGGCAGGTATGTTGCATCTAGGAGAGTGGGGTTTTACATTCCTGTGGTTTGATGGACCGGTTCGGTGTCTAGTTTGGTTCATATGTTGAATTTTATTCTCCGACATGTCCAATATAGTAGTGTTAGTTCAACACATATTTCCCCATCCTTGTGATGATGTTGTTTAGAAACTTGTGATGATGATGTTGTTTAGTTTGCTATGGATCCCGTAGCTTGTGTTAGACCTCTGCTATCTGTTGGATTTTTATTCAGAGATATACTAACCTTTCATCTATATGACATGCAAGGTGCAAAGCTTTGCATGCTTGCAGATATGCTTGGTAGCACAGGTTCTTTGACTGGTGTTGATGTTGCAAAGCACCGTCTTGCAGCCTGTCGTACGATGTTGCAGAAGTATTCTCTTGGAGATCGTAGTCGACTCTTTGTTGCTGATGGGACTTCATTTTCCATATTGCCTGTGAACTCCAATCTGGGGAGCATGGAAGGTATATTCATCAGAAGAATCCAGTCCCGTTTTTGCTTTACTTCTTCTGTATGTATGTATGATTTAGCTTGTCTTGAGTTCATGCTCTTTGTCACAGCTTTTGTTGGAATTGAGGATAATGGAAGCATATTCTCAGAATGGACTTCAAAGAGATCATGGAAAGACAGACAGAAGTCTAAAAAGGCAAAAGCAGCCGGTTCACCTCATCCACCATCAACTTCCGAACCTGAACTGATATACTATGGCAAAGATTCAGGATTAGTTGGATTGCAAAAACGTTATGTTCTTCGTCCATCAACTGATGCTGCTGCCTGTACATCTGGGTATGATAAGGTATTCCTTTGCTTGTGTTATTTTGTAAACTGCTAATGTTATCGTTACTGAACTACACAAGTACTCTGTGACTTTGATTAGTAAAAAGAAGAAGTGGAAATATGCATGATCTACTTTGGTGCCATTGATTTTTCTTAAGCCATCTCAGCTGACTCCACATGTAGTTGCAAATCAGACTGTCAATTAGCTCTAAAAAGTGTACCTTTCTCTCATTCTGTTGAGGGAACACTTTTCATCTTCTGAAAGAGTGCTGAAGCACTTCTATATAGAACACACACAGCTTATTTTACTGGTTGGAATATTCTATTGCAACTTATTCGGCTACTTGTAACATCTCCTTTGTTCCTTTGGATGAAATGCATGCAGGTCCTAGTGGATGCAGAGTGTACTCACGATGGATCGATAAAACACATTCAGAAGTTTGAGTTCTGGGGATGGAAAACATTAGACCGCCGTGTACTCAACGTAGAAAGAACTGGCAACCTACTTCAACTTCAGGTACTACTTCTGTTCTTGATGTTAGCTTGAATGGCACTTCATCGAGCAATCTATATATCTTAAATCTAACCCCACAATTAGCTACATGAGAATCTTATGTTTGATGTTTACTGAATTTTGATGATCTTCCTTTCGTATGCAGTTAGGGCTTCTCACAAATGGTTTTAAATTATTGAAAACAGGTGGATCACTTGTCTATAGTACTTGCAGGTGCGTAATCTCTTCACATGCAAATCTAATCCTCAATTGCGTCTCAGTAGTCTAGCCTTTACCGTGTTTAGAATTTCGGTACAATTTATAGTTCATACCGTCGCATGACTAACAGTTTGTCTTGGAATAGCTTGACTGTTGCACAAAACGAGAATGTGGTTCAGCAATTCCTTTCAAAACATCCTTCAGCAGGTACAAACGTCCTGCTACCTGCCTTCATCTAATATATATGTTGATTATCACTTCTATAAAAGGGTTGTTGGTTTTGCAACCTGCAGAGCTGCTAAAGATCGATCCAGCTGATAGCTGGCCCTGCAGAAGCGGTGGCATCCAGAAAACCTTGCGGTTCGATCCCGCGACGTCACAAACTAGTGGACTTTTCATCGCCAAGTTCATCAAGTTGTGATGTTCTTTATGAGATACTCACAACTTCGTATAAGTTAATTTCATATGAAACCAGGTTGTTGTGAGTAAATTTTGCTAGGTTTTACTCTAGTTCTTTAACAACAGGTGGTCGGAGTCTGCTTGTTTATGTACTCAAGTTTTAAGTAGGCTTCTTGGTAAAATTAGCCTCCTTGGCTTTAGGTGTGTAGAAAGGGTTGTTGGAAAACACTCCCATCTATTCTCAAAAAAATAAAAATCCCTGAGTCACAAATACTCCCTCCGCAAAAACGTCTTGTATTATGGGAGGGAGTATAAGATGTTCTAACCTTTTTGTGAATCAGATGTATAGACATGTTTTAGTGTGTTTGTTCGCTCATTTCAGTCCTTATGTAGTGATCTAAATGCTCTTATATTTCTTTATGAAGGTTGTACAAAACATTTTATATATGTGGCATGCACAAAAATATGTTTGCACTACCACAAAATACAGCAATTACTATGCGTCCGCAGCTGTCGGCAAGGCCCTGAGGTGTCTCACGCCTACGCAGCACTCGGTGGGCGGCGCGGCCTCCTTGCTGGTCACGTACCTGACTCAAGGGTGCAGGTTAGCGTCCACGTCGCCGCAGATCGCAGCCGCTGCCCTTCATCTTTCTATAGCCACCGCTTGCTCGTGTTTTCTCCTTCTCGCTAGACCAGGAGCTCGTGATCATGGAGCTCTAGTGGTTTGTGCATTTTATGGCGTGGGAGTACATAGTGATCGATGCGAAGAATGGACGAGATGGTTACAACAATATGGCAGCAAATCCGTTTCCAAAGAAAGAAAGAAATGTCAGCAGATGATGCTATGGATGAAGCTCACAACAGCTTCTGCAACAGAAGATGATTATTTCTTAGCCTGCAGCAACCGTTTTGTCATGGTTGCCCGCCACATGCCCACATATATATCTACTCAATAGTTGAGTACACCATGCATCCATCTAGTCAGTGGCGGAGACAGGCCTGGGGCAGCTAGGGCTATAGCCCCAGGCCTAAAAACAACTTCCTTTGTAATTTCTTCATGCAAAGCATAGAAAATCATAGAACTTTATCACTCAACATAGCATAGCCCCAGGCGTAGTCTGCATCTAGCTCCGCCCGTGCATCTAGTACTACAAAGCTACTATCTCTGTTCATGCATGAACAGGATCTAATTGATTAGCACACCTATGAACGCAAGAACAGAGAGGAGACAAGTAATGCTCTGGAAATGATTCAATTCATCGTGTTCTACGTTGATATATCTCAGAGTATATATGTATCAACGTATGTATGTATGTATGTATTCTTTCACCATTCTTGTAATAAGATCCCTGCATGTTTTGCTCGAGTTTTACTGCATCTGCATGCCATGGCTAGGACAGGAGCCGTACATCTGCAGCGGCAGGCGCGGTTGAGCGGCGGCGATGAGCGGCTTGGCCTTGGGCATGGTCATCCCGTAGACCTCGTCGGTGTCGATGTCCTCGGGGCGGAGGCCGTCGGGCGGGGACCAGTCGAAGCAGTGGAAGAGCCTGGCGAGCGCCATGAGCACCAGGATCACGCCCAGCGGCGCCCCGGGGCACTTGCGCTTGCCGGCGCTGAAGGGCAGGATCTTGAAGTCCGGCAGGTGGCTGATCTCCACGCGCCCGCCGTCCGCCGGGAGGTGCCTCTCGGGGCGGAACTCGTCGACGTCGTCCCAGATGCGCGGGTTCCGGCCCAGCGCGTGGGTGTTGATGAAGATCCTCGTCTGCGCCGGGATGTCGTAGCCCATGATGGTCGTCGCCTTGAGTGACTCGTGCGGGATCAGGAATGGCCCCGCCGGGTGCATCCGGAAGGACTCCCGGACGACGCAGCGGAGGTACGTCAGGTGGGGGAGGTCCGCCTCCACCACCATGCGGCTGGTGCCGACGACGGCGTCGAGCTCCTCCTGGATCTTGCGGAGGACGCGCGGGTTCTTGATCACCTCGGCCATCACCCACTCGTTGGTCACTGATGAAGTGTCAGTAGCAGCGGCGATCATGTCCTGCGTATACACACATTCAGAATGATCATGTATGCATGTTCATATGCACTTTCTCTTTTAACAGCAGCAGCAGCAGTGTTCATTTGTAATACCAAACATCTACAGTACAAACCTAAATGAAGATGATCTACAAACAAAATAACATGGTGGTTTATTTAGTATTACAAGCGAGAACAACTACTAGTACTTATTATAACAAAACCCAAACTTCTGGGGAAAAGAGCAAATTACAAACTCTGCTGTGAAATCAAACAGTGAACTCCCTACTCTCTTTTTACCATCTACTCTATTTATCAAATTCTCAAAAGGGGGGAGTACAAAATAACTTCTTGGTGGTCAGGTCTTTAATAAAAATATAATTGCACAACAACTATGAAGCCAAATCAATTTCAAGACTAACACATGCAATGGTGACAGAGCACAAAACATGGTTAAAAGACCAAGCTAGCATAAAGAAAATGAACTGGAGGGTCTGTAACAGTAAGGATACCTGCATTAAGGCTTTGATCTCCACATCATCCATGTGCTCATTCCCATTCTCACCAGGCAAGGAGAGCAGCACATCAACAAAGTCCATGCCTTCTTTGCTATCATCACCATCATCATCAAGGGATGCACCACTCTTCCTGACATCCCTTGCCTTCCTGTGCTCATCAATTATCTTCTGGTGAAAATCATCCACCTTCTTCTCAACCTCTCTCATCTTCTTCTCGCACCCATATGGATCAAGCCACCTCCAGGCAGGCAAGTAATCCCCAAGATAGATCAGGCCCAGCAGAAAGAACAACTCATGGGTGATGTGCATGAACTCCATCGCTTCACCAGGGCCTGCTGACTGCAGCCCAAAGTACTGCTTTCCAAGTAACATTCTCGTCACGTTGTTCATCGAGAATGCCCCGAGAACCTCTCTGAGATTCACAGGCTTACCTGACTGGGATTTAGCCCATACAAACTCACAGAGGTGCTCAGCTTCCTCAGCTCGGTGAGCAGCGAAAGATTCAAGCCGCCTGGTGGTAAGCAGGTGCTCCATGCAAACCCTCCTCATCCTCTTCCAGTTTGGCCCCAGTGGAGCAAGAGCCACATCGCCACAGCCATAGGCAAGGTGGACAGCAGCCAATGTCCGAGGCCGTGAAGCGAAGACCTCGTCTTGCCGGATAAGTATTTCACGGATGACTTCAGGGTCATCAGTGGTGATGGCATCAATGGTTCCAAGACGAAGATAGACAAGGGGGCCATACTTGGTGCAAAATCGAGCAAAGTCCTTGTGGGGAAGAGGACTCAACTGGAGAAGGTTCCCAAAGATTGGCCATCTTGGAGGTCCCGGTGGAAGCCTTAGCCTCATTCCATTGAGTTTTTTCCAAGACACTGCAGCAAAGATGCATGAGCATAAGATGATGGAAAGAAGAAATGGATCCATAGGTCACAAGCTAATGGCAATTATAGCCAAATTGCAAATGTTGTTCTATTTATGGGATCCCGTCAAGCTTGCTTATGAAAGAAACTTAAGTGATGAAGTTGAAGCGAATTGGTTAGAGTATTAGAGTGGTCATGATTCTTGTGCTGTTCTGTATGGTTAAACATCTCACCTAACATCTTATAACAAATGTCATGATCTTGACATGACTAAGGGAGTGATGCAAAAACTGAAAAATGCCTGGGGATATATAGAAAAGAACCAGGATAAAATAAAGGCCATCAAACCTGACCACAGATCATGTATTCACAAAATATATAGCTCTTCCCCACTGCTATCCAGCAACTCACTCGGCACAAATTCTATTTCTACAAAACCATTTTTTCATTGAATCAGGCACAAACGGTGGACCGCCATCTAGGAGTTAGGTTATAGTTTTGATAACAGGTGTTCTGCATCTGTCTATCATTATGAAGGCATAATATATTTAGCGTGCAAATCTTACTCCAACATCTACCACATTGATAATATACAAAGAGAGAAAAATCCTAAATCTGTTGTAGATAACATGGAGAAATACATCCTTATTCCTTCTCAAATACCACATCTAACTCCCTGCTGTACAGCAATGTTCCATGTGTGCTTGTTCCCCCTTCTCCCCGTAAGTCTATCTTAAGAGTAAGAAACTTATATTGCTGAAAGAAAAGATTAATCTTTCCCTAATAATAAAGCACGGATTGACTCCGTGGGTTCACCGTCACAATACGCTTCCACCCAGTCGTAATACGCTTTTACGATTCGTATAGACAAAATCGTAATGTAAACGAGGTAGTATTAATAGCATGTTCGTCCGTCCGTCCGACCTGATTCATTTTCCGTACGTTGTTGATCGTAGGTTGCTCAGCTGGACCTCTGCCTTGGCCCGCATCGCTAAGATTTCTCTTTTTTTTTGCTGGAAAAACTTTCAGTCTATTCATCTTCAATCATGGTAGTACAACGAACACTAGAAATAATAAAAATTACATCCAGATCCGTAGACCACCTAGCGACGACTACAAGCACTGAAGCGAGCCGAAGGCGCCGTTGTCATCGCCCCTCCATCGCCGGAGCCGGGCAAACCTTGTTGTAGTAGACAGTCGGGAAGTCGTCGTGCTAAGGCCCCGTAGAACCAACGCACCAGAATAGCAACCGCCGCGGATGAAGAGTGTAGATCAAAAGGATCCAATCTGAAAACACACGAACGAAGACGAACGACGAACAGATCCAAGCAAATCCACCAAAGGCAGATCCGCCGGAGACACAACTCCACACGCCCACCAACGATGCAAGACGCATCACCGGAACGGGGGCTAGGCGGGGAGACCTTTATTCCATCTTCAGGGAGCTGCCACTGTCTCGTCTTCCTGAGCAGGACACAAACCCTAACAAAGCTCGAAAAAAGATCTAAAAACGGAGCCCTCCCACCGGCAAGGGCCGAGATCCACTCCGCCTCCATGGCCATAGGGCCACCGTAGACGGGATGGACCGGCGCTGGCGCCGGCGCCGGTGGGAAGCAGAAAGCTAGGGTTTTTGGAGGCGGCGGCCTTAGCCACGGGTTCTCGCTAAGATTTCTAATGGGCCAGCAGCCACGTTTTGCAGTGGCCACGACTGGGCTTCCCACTGGCCGGCACGCACGACACAGGAGGCGTCGGCGGCCTCAGCGCCCAGCGCAGGGGATGGCAGAGCGGGATGGCAGAGCAGGGCGAGGCCCCGGCCAGCAGCGGCCCCGGCGGAAGTGGCTCGGCGCCCGGCGGGCAAAGGCAGGCGCGGCGGCGCTAGGCGGCGGTGGCTGGGCGTTTGATGCGGCGGCTAGGCGCGGCAGCAGGCAGAGGTACGGCGCTGGCAGCAGCTAGCAAAGCAGCCGCAGCCAGCAGCAGGAGGTAGTGGTAGCTAGCGGCAGCAGCACCTAGCGGCAGAAGTACTAAGCAGCAGCGGCGGAAGCACAGCAAGAAGAAGCAATAGCAGCTAGCACAGCACGCACCAGCAGGGGTAAGGCCATGCGCGGCAAGCAGCTAGCAGCGCTAGCAGGGAGCGGCGGCAGCGGACGCTAGGAGGCTGCAGCGCAAGCAGGGGTGCCGCAGTGGGTGCAGGGAGTGGCGTGTGGTGGTGGGCACAGCAGCAACGAGCTGCATAGGGCAGCAGCAGGTGCGGCGCTGGACAACCAACCGAGTATGTACGCTTTTGCTACAAAATCTGGTTTCACTATCTAATAGTCCCACCTCGGTCCTTTTCTCTAAGTTTCATCAGTTTATATACGTTTACAAGTTACCTAGCAGCAAGCCTCGAGAGCCCAAAAAACAAAGAGAATGAAGGAACAAATCGAGAAAAGGAAAGGGAGGACGGGGATGCGCGGACTGATTGTGAGCTCTAAATATATGATGGATGCATGCATGACTGCTCTGATTGGCTGGTGACATGGTGGGTTCATTCTCATTAAATTGGGAAGGCTGGAACAAGAACTCCGCGTTGCATGCGAAGACTCGGCACGGATTTAAAATAATTAAAAGAAGAAGTAATCCGCTATTACGAGCAGTTGGGAACTCAGATTTGAAATTAAAAGAGGAAATAAATTCGGCAGAAAGAAAGGAATTAGAAGAAGAAATAAATTTCGTGTTCTATCTAATGGGAGAGATGCCCATTAATAAATGGGCACACGCTAATGTTGTTACTCCACTTCTTGATAATGTTGTTTTCAACTTCCTGTGCTATATATAAATCAGTTTTCAATCTCCATGTTTATAATTTTATATGAATTATGAATTATTTAGAGCAGTGTGGAAGTCAGGTTTTTTGCCTGAAGTGTGAATGTAAAGTTAACAATTGATTGATTTCCAACTAATGGGAATGAACTTCATGAATATTAATTTTTGTCTCTTTTATACTTGATGATTACAACAATAATTTTACTCTCGTCGGTTTGTCTTTTTGTACTATGATTCGATGGCCATGGTCGAAGAACATGACGACATAGTTTACTGCCTGAAAAATGCCCAAGCTCATTGGCGACAGTGAAGTGTGTGTAGCTTATGTTCAGTCAAGAGCCTCATACCTTAACATAATTTGCATTAAGAATCATTATTGTGTGCGATAAATAAGGAAATGCACCACATGATATGTAAAGACATGATTTATGTTGAACCACGTGAAGTGAATGTGACGGTTGTTGCAACGCATGAGGAATTAGAAGTCGGCGCAGGGAGGGGCTTGAGTTTGTTTCTCCCGTTGCAACGCACGGGCATTTGTGCTAGTAAGAAACAAAACACTAAACTTACCTTGGCCATGGTTGTCTCCTTAGAATCAGCATTATGCTTCACTC